ATAAAAAAATAAAAAAAAATTTTATGGTTTAAAACTGTGACTTCTTGTTTTCCTTGCTGATGGTTCTAAGAAACCTTCCTCAACTATTCTCTTGTATCGTTATAACTGAAGTACATACTATAATTAAGAACACAAAATTCACAATGTTATTGCTAAACCAAATCACACCTTAGTAATCTATTTCTATCCCTATTTTTCAATATCAACATTATTTTCTATCCTTTGGCACTGGTCTTCATACTGTCACTGACCTAGAAAAAAACTCGTCTGACCTCTTTTTCAAGATATTTGATGAAAAGATTATATAATCTGTAATGCAAAACTTTGTGATCTTGCATGACTGAATATACATTATGGGTGACATTCTTTATTGTTATGCAATCCCTAGATTCTCTTGGTAACCTGATTCACATTGTTTTTTAGCCTTGTAAGTTCCCTTGAATTTCTACCTGAATTAAATTATACAAGGTATATATTATAGAGAGACTGTCTTGTATCATGACTGTGTGTTTTAACCTTAAAAGGTCCAAACGTATATATATACGTTCACTCGCGCAGCGCCCCGAATATTTTGAAAAAAAAAAAAAAATCTTTTTTTTTTATGTAGAAAAAAAGAGCACATTTTTTTAAGTGTTTTAGCATAAAAAAAATAATTTAGGGTCAGTACTTACCGAGGTATGAGGCCGCGAAGTTGGCACTTGGCGATCACCTGACGGCAACATGGAGCACTGCTGCTTGCAGAAATTCAACATATTTACCGTTTTCTTCCATTTTTTTTCATTTTCTTGGTTTTCATGATATGATAATTATGCTTTATAGTAAGTCATTTGATATCAATGCCAATTTTTGTTTATACACCAATATTACATACGAAATTTTTATCATATTGTCATAAACACACATGTACACACTGACAGGTGATTTTGCACACCTGGCTGAATCACACATTATTATCTACAACTATATACAAGTATTTACATGTCCCACTTATGTTTCTAGAACTCCACAATTGTATGATACTCCATGAAGCATGGATTCATACAGAGTGCCACCCTACACTGGTGACACATGAATCGTGTGTCCTTCCGCTGTTGGGGTCGTTTTTTCGGTGGTAGCACACACAATACACTTTTTCTGGGCATTCTTCTTCTTTTGGGTAGGTGGTATTGGTACCAGATAGTGACAGTTAGGAGTGATTCGGTCTGGCACTTCCCCCACTGGCTGTGGTTGGGGGACATGTTGTGGTGTGACAGGTCGCTGTTGAGGGGAAGGTACAGGTGTGGTACCATACTTTCTTGCTATCTGCTTGACGAGATCCAGAGAGAAATCTGCAAAACGTTGTCGTTTTCCAGTCTTTACTTCGTACATATTGAATGCATTGAGCACTGCAATGTCTACAAGGTGAAAAAACAGTTTTATATACCACTTGCGACTCCTACGCACACAGTCAACAAACCCTGTCATCATGTCACACTTGTCAACTAGTCGCATATTGTTCGTATAGTCCACGACAGCAAGTGGCTTCACAATAGGTTAGTTGTTGAACTTGCTCAGTCTGTCTGTCTGTACCATCTCGTTTCTGTGGATGGTTGAAAGCAATGTCACGTCTCGTTTGTCATGCCACGTCAGTGCCATGATGTCATTAGCATGAAATGCTTGCACTTCACCTTCAACACTGCCTCCAGTGAACCTTGGCATATGTTTCCTATTCCTTCTCACTGTTCCACATATATCAGTATTGTTCACACGTAGGAAATCAGCAAGCATAGGGCTTGTATACCAGTTGTCTGTGTACAATGTATGGCCCTTGCCAAGGTATGGTTCCATCATCCTGCGAACAACATCACCGGAAATGCCCAACATCCTTCTGTCATCATCGAGTGTGTTTTTCCCTGTGTATACAATTACATCCAACACAAGACCACTCTCACAGTCACACATAACAAAAAGTTTTATACCAAAGCGATTACGTTTGCTCAGTATATATTGCTTGAATGACAGGTGTCCCTTGAACAGAATCAAGGACTCATCAACAACAATGTCCTTGAAGGGATAAAAGTATACAATGAATTTCTGCTTCAAATACATAAACACTTCCCGGATTTTGTATAGAAGGTCATTTCTGTCTGGCGTATTTCTGTCTGCGAAGTGCAACATTCGTAGCAACAGAGTGAATCTGTTGCAGGGAAGGAGGTCACGGAAAACTGGAGTACTGATGAAGTGGTCTGTAGACCAGTAATTACGTATATTGTTCTTATAGATATGTGGCATAAGTATGACAGTGGCAAGGAATAAATACATTTCAGCCACTGTTGTGTCTTTCCACCTGTGCAGCCGTGATGATTCTCCAACCTCTGCTGTGTTGTTCATGACATATTGGTAATAAATGTTTGTCTGAGTCACTATCAAGTTCATTATAGGCTCGTCAAAGTACAACTGGAAATAGTCTAACTCTGTAGACTCATTCGTTATGGGACATTCTGGCTGGATACCACTTCCACTAGCATCAAAATCACAAGGCTGTGGCACGAATATACTTTGTGTCCAGTTCCACTCACGATCACATGGTGCAGGGTGGACCTGTGGCATGGGGCGAGGGGGGGCAGGAGGAGGAGGGAGTGGAGTGGAGGCAGCACATGGTTGAGGGGGTGCCGGGCGGTCCTTTGTCTGTCCACCCACTGCGCCATGTGGTCCAGGCACCATGCCACCCACCACTACTTCCTCCATCCCCGCATACTCCCCTTCGTGATCACTTTCACTATCAGTGGCCGGGGTTTTGGATCGTGACCTGCCATGACCCTTGGGGATTGCATACGGCACACTGCCTGAACATAGATAACGCGCCTAAAAGTATGTTTCACTGGTGAATAATGAACGTCACTATCACTAGACGAATCCTCAATTGGCATAAAATCAATCTCATCATCACTTACATCACTTTCACTATCACTAAAACACCGGGAAAATGATAGTTTCCTCTTGCGAAGTTGCCTTTGGGTAACACTTGCCACTCCAGAGGTGCTTGGCCCAGGGTCTTCTGTGGCCACACTGGCCACCCCAGAAGTGTTTGGCCTAGGGTCTGATGTGGCCACACTGGCTACCCCAGAGGTGCTTGGCCCTAGGACAGGTGTCGCTACCCCAGAGGTGATGGGCTGGGGGTCATCTGGGTTATCGCTGATATTTTCACTAATTCCTTGAATATTACTGGCCCCATTGGTGTCAAATCCACTAAACTCACGATCACTATCACTTTCCTCGAATAGTAGAGTGTTAATACGACGAGGCATGAGTGAATCACGAGGATGTGCCATGATGTTGACCCAGGATGGAGCTGAATGTAACTGGTCCTACCATGTGGTACCCAGGCGTCCCAGATTTTTTGTATACTGCGCACACTGAGTGCGCACACCCATTCTCTCATGTCTAGGCGACTCAGGCCTATCGCACTAATTTTGAACGAATGAAAAATAAAACGTATATACGTATACGTTTGGGGCGCTACGCAAGTGAACGTATATATATGTTTGGACCGTTTAAGGGTTAAGTAGGGCTTTCCAAGTTTTTATAGCATGGGTTAAAATTTGTATTAAGGATGAAGTAAGTGAAGAATCCAGTATTATAACTGAATGGTCTGTATTTTTAGGAGGTTTACTATTACTACAGCATGAAGATTCTTATATCAGGCTTTTCTAGTATTATGACTGATTTTGGAGTTTGCTCTTAATTCCAAAACATATACACTGTAATTTTTTTTTTTTTTTAACACATAGGCTGTTTCCCACCAAGGTAGAGTGGCCCAAAAGAGAAAAATGTTCACCATCATTCACTCCATCCCTGTCTTGCCAGAGGCATGCTTACACTCCAGTTATAAAACTGCAACATTAACACCCCTCCTTCAGAGTGCAGACACTGTACTTCCCATCTCCAGGACTCAAGTCTGGCCTGCCAGATTCCCTGAATCCCTTCATATGTATTACCCTGCTCATGATCCAACAGCATGTCAAGTCCTTAAAAACCACTTGTCTCCATTCACTCCTACCTAACAACCTCATGCATACTTGCTGGAAGTCCAAACCCCTCGCACACAAAACCTCCTTTATCACCTCCCACCAACCTTTCCTAGGCTGACCTCTACCCTGCCTTCCCTCCACTGTAAATGAGCTATAAATAAAGATGGAAGAAATGCGAGCATTGTAGTCTAGGGTTCTGTATATTATTGTGATTCTTTTAAGATGTAGAAATATATTTCCCAAACACTAAAATTTAGTAATAATAATATATTTCTACAAGTACACATACAAGGTATACAGACCTAGCTGACTTTAATGAAATACTACTATACAGAGAGCCCTTTGTTATGTAGAGCATTTCAGGCAAATTAGGTCAATTATGCCCCAGGATGCAACCCACAACAGTTGACTAACACCCATGTACATATTTTACAGATAGGTGAGCATGAACAGCAGGTGCTTTAAGGAAATATGTCCTAATGTTTACAGAAGGACTGGGAATTGACCCCCGGACCACAGTGTGTGAGATGAGTTGAGTGTATTAACAAGTTGGCTAATTGGTACCATAAATCTTTTCATCAATATTAGCCTCTCCTAATTTCCATCTAACATGCTTAAATGTACTTGCTGGATGTTCAAGCCTCTGCTTAACATCCCAGCACAACCTCCTTCTATACCTTCCTTGGATGTCCCCAAACTTCCTTTAATCCACTCAATTTATACACCATTATTAAACCTGTTTTCCTCCATTCTTTATAAATTTCAAAATATCTCAACTAGTCTTCTTCAGTTTTGTATATTATACTTTTTTTTTATCACCAAACTTGCATCCAAAACTGAATAGTGCAAACTATAAAGCTTTTTCACTTATTATTCAATTTTGCATGCAAATTTTCAGCTGCATTTAGAAAAAATTACATAAAGCTTAATTTATACTTTAATTAAACTTCATAACACTAGCAGAAAAATTATAACAAAATTTTATCAAACCTGGCTGTGAGGGGTCATATGGCCGTTGAGAATGTGGGGGAGTGGGTGGAGGTAGCAGCAGTGGGTTTAAGTCTACATAGACTTTCCCAATGGCATCATTGGCTGAGTATGTGTCATGGTCCATAAGACGAATTTGTAGTGGCTCATCTTGAAGTTCTTGGTCATCAACCTAGCAGAAAAAAAAAAAAAAGGTCTTTTTCTAACAAACTGGCAACATAAACCATTTTTGCTATTAAAATAAAATGTCTAGTTTATTTGTTTCATAAGCTTGTTTTCACATTTAACTCAAATTGGAAAAATATTACTAACATAAGCCACGAATGATGATTACTGAATTCTCACATGAACTTGGGACTCAACTCAACAACTTCAATGTGTATCAGCATATTACTTTAAGATGTAAATTGTGAAGTACAACAGCTTTAAAAAAATATATATATACTTACACTTACACTTAGGTCACACTACACATACATGTACACGTTTATTTATACACACTCATCTGAGTTTACTTTGATTTTATCTTAATAGTTCTTGTTCTTATTATTTTTCCCATAATATCCATGGGGAAGTGGAATAAGAATCTTTCCTCTGTAAGCCATGCGTGTTGTAAAAGTCAACTAAAATGCAGGGAACAATGGGCTAGTAACCCCTTTTCCTGCAATAATTACTAAAAAGAATAAGAAGAAAATTGTCAAAGTGGGATGTCTGAATGTGCGTGGATATTATGAGAATGATAAGAGATGATTGTGGCCGTTATGAATGAGAAGAAGCTGGATATCCAGGCTTTAAGTGAAACAAAGCTGAAGGGGGTGGGAGAGTTTCTGTGGAGAGGAATAAATGGGATTAGGTCAGGGGTTTCAAATAGAGTTAGAGCTAAAGAAGGAGTAGCAATAATGTTGAAGGATAAGTTATGGCAGGAAAAGAGGGAATATAAATGTATTAATTCAAGGATTATGTGGAGTAAAATAAAGGTTGGATGTGAAAAGTGGGTTATAGTAAGCATATATGCACCTGGAGAAGAGAGAAGTGTAGAGGAGAGAGAGAGATTGTGGGAAATGTTGAGCAAATGCATGGGGAGTTTTGAACCAAGTGTGAGAGTAATGGTGGATGGGAATTTCAATGCTAAAGTGGGTAAAAATGTTGTGGAGGGAGTAATAAGTAAATTTAGGGTGCCAGGGGTAAATGAAAATGGGGAGCCTTTAATTGAGCTATGTGTAGAAAGAGGTTTGGCAATAAGTAATATATATTTTATGAAAAAAGAGGATAAATAAATAAACAAGGTATGATATAGCACATAATGAAAGTAGTTTGTTAGATTATGTATTGGTGGATAAAAGGCTGATGGGTAGGCTCCAGGATGTACATGTTTATAGAGAGGCAAATGATAAATCGGATCATTATTTAGTTGTAGCTATAGTTAGAGTAAGAGGTAGATGGGAAAAGAGGAAAATGGCATCAACAAGTAAGAGGGAGGTGAAAGTGTATAAACTAAGGGAGGAGGAAGTTCGGGTGAGATATAAGCAACTACTGGCAGAAAGGTGGGCTGGTGCAAGTATGAGTAGTGGGGGGGTTGAAGTGGGTTGGAATAGTTTTAAAAATGCAGTATTAGAATGTGGGGCAGAAGTTTGTGGTTGTAGGAGGGTGGGTGCAGGAGGAAAGAGGAGTGATTGGTGGAATGATGAAGTAAAGGGTGTGATAAAAGAGAAAAAGGTAGCTTATGAAAGGTTTTTACAAAGCAGAAGTGTTATAAGAAGAGTAGAGTATATGAAGAGTAAAAGAAAGGTGAAGAAAGTGGTGAAAGAGTGCAAAAGGAGAGCAGATGATAGAGTGGGAGAGGCACTGTCAAGAAATTTTAATGAAAATAAGAAAAAAATTTGGAGTGAGTTAAACAAGTTAGGAAAGCCTAGGGAACGAATGGATTTGTCAGTTAAAAACAGAGTAGGGGAGTTAGTAGATGGGGAGATGGAGGTATTGGGTAGATGGTGAGAATATTTTGAGGAACTTTTAAACGTTGACAAAGAAATGGAGGCGGTAATTTCATTCACTGGCCAGGGAGGTTTACCATCTTTTAGGAGTGAAGAAGAGTAGGATGTGAGTGTGGGGAAGGTGCGTGAGGCATTACGTAGAATGAAAGGGGGTAAAGGAGCCGGAACTGACGGGATCATGACAGAAATTTTAAAAGTAGGGGGGATATAGTGTTGGAGTGGTTGGTATTTTTGTTTAATAAATGTATGAACGAGGGGAAGGTACCTAGGGATTGGCAGAGAGCATGTATAGTCCCTTTATATAAAGGGAAGGGGGACAAAAGAGATTGTAAAAATTATAG